ATTAATAAAAAAAAAATCATTTGAATCCTGTTATTCCACAAACTGATCAGACAGTAGACGTGTTTGAAGTTCCATGGTAGTGGAATGTACCATTGCTATGGAAAGGAGAGGGGAGAGAAGGTTACTTACACTAATTATATCACATTAAAAAGATGATTTGTAGTGTTTATCGAACATTAGCCCTTTTTATATTACTCTCATAATAATTTCCACGATATTTATCTGATAATTCGTTCCTACATTGCTGTGAAACTGTCTGTCTACCGCTCTGAGGAAGACCCGTTCACCTGGTGCCCTCACAGTCGCGGAAGGAGACAAAAGCAATCGATCTCAGAGTAACCGATTGAGGCGCATGTGTCGAGCACAGATCTTATGACCACGACATAACTTCAACAATACAACACACAATGTGAATTCAGCAATACTCTTTGAAACATTTTACCTCTTCTAACACAATTATTTACCACTTTTAACTCTTTAAACCCACTTTAGCCAGTCTGAAACTTTTAATTTGATCTGTTTTTAACTTCACTCCATCTGTTATAATCCCAATGTCATGAATGAATGTATTTAACACATTTTAACAGATCACAATAGTGTTTCTATTTAACCTGTCATGTACACAGTGTTCTGACAGCTGTTTATCACAGATTCTCTTAATGCATATTCTAACCTTTCACAATGTGTCATGAGAAAACATCTCTGCAATAGTATTTAAATCCTCAGTGATACAAAACTGCATCCCTTTACAGTCATGGCATGATTTATTTTCTAATATTGTGAATCTAAGCTGTTAATCTGACTTCTGTTCAGCTTAGAATTAAACCAAATAATGTAAAATGATACCATATTGATTTTTTTTTCTATTTTTAAATTACATTATGAGATAGGATCACGTCTGCTGTACACTGAATTAATAAAAAAAAAATCATTTGAATCCTGTTATTCCACAAACTGATCAGACAGTAGACGTGTTTGAAGTTCCATGGTAGTGGAATGTACCATTG